GAGCCTGACCCCGCGTAGACCCGCCGGCCGCGCAGGCCCCGCTCGCACGGCCCACAGGGGCCGTGGGAAAGTTTCCCCCCTCTGCTCAGACCCTTACCCGAGCAACAAAAGTCTGTGCGGTCTCCCCTGTCTTCACCTAGCGCCTCTGGAGTGCAGACTCCAAGCTATGTGCTGGGTCTGTTCCCAGCTTAAAATGCCAGACGTCTTGGCCACCCCTCCGCATCCCTGACTCTAAAGGTGGCACCACAACCTGGGTTCAGTTTTCCCTCCTGTGTCTCTGTCGCTTACCTTCTGGTGACTGGGGTTCCACCCATGCGCAACCGAGGTTAACCGCTAAAGATACCTGACTCTTGGCAAATTACAGTTGAGAGGTGAGTTGGTGACGAGGTAAATCGTGAGTGCTATTCAGGAAGTGAAGGGGCCCTGTGGAGTGAATGTTTACTAGTCAGTCTATAAACTTTTGATTCAGAGCAATTAAAATAGCTGATCAAAAGACTAAGATTCCGAATCTTCAAAGCATGTTTGATGAACTGGTTTCGGGAATAGGGACCGAAAGTAGGAAACCCCCAAATCTATTTCGCTTTCACTGTTTAATACAAAAGTCTGCATTTGCCTGGAGTGTTTTATTTTAGCTTTTCGATGATTTCTCTTTCCGAAGTGAAATAACAAACAACCAAAACAATGCTGGGTCTGGCGCTCACACTTATGAGCCAGGTACTGAATTAGGGAGGCTAAGAGAGGAGGATTGTCAGGAGTTGGAGACCCTCAAATCAAACAGTTGAAGGTTAGCCTGGGCTTCAACATGACACCCTGTCTACAGAGCCAAACAACAACAACGTAAAAGTGGAAGAGACATCAAGGTCAATGACATCACACACACAAAATTACAGATCAACATACCCATGTTTCGTGGACATAGAACAAAAATCCTCGATAAAATACTAGCAGGGGAACCTAGCAAAGGTATTAGTATATACGATGTGCTGTGGTTTATCTTACAAGTCCAAGAGTGGTATGACATACAAAAGTAATATAGCATCCCATTTTAGTGAACTAAATAATGAAATAACAATAATGAAATGGCCCTCAACAGACAAAGGGGAAGCTGGTAGACCTCTAAAGAGTCAAAAGACAGGAAAACAGTAAACTGAAGTGTTTATCAGCAATTATTACGGTAGTCTTGGGTAGAGAAGGGGAGACCACCGACCTTAAGGGGGATGGGAGTTTTATTTGAATTTAAGGCATCCTGTCCAGTGATTTCCCCTCTCTCTCCATTTTCCTGTTGTTCTGAAGGTGTCTATGTGTCCCTTCTATGGTAGTCTGGTTTGGGGCTCTTCTGTATAATTATTGATTTGCTGGGGTAAGAGTGAGAACGGCAACCTCCTGTCTTTTTCATGGCTTTACAGGTGTGCAGAGACCAGATATGTGTGGGGAAAATGTGTGACAGTTGAGAGAAATAGAAATGGACTGCTGTGGATAAAAAAAAAAACACAAAAAAATGAAGACCTATGACCTACTGCTGGGGACAGAAAACCATTAACTCTCTCTCTCTCTCTCTCTCTCTCTCTCGCTCGCTCGCTCTCGCTCTCGCTCTCTCTCTCTTCAAACTTCGGTTTCTATTCCACCCTTTCTCACATCCTGTAGGCCCAAAACATTTGAAAAAATTCAACAACACCTTTTTCATAGTCACACACAATAGATAGGAATTTCCCTGACCTAATAAACGGTGTCTGTGAAACACCCATGGTTCACACCATAGCTGTTTAGGAAAAAGTGGTCACTGTGAGCTAAACTCAGGAACAGGACAAGCATGCCTATCCTCGCCACTCCTTTCCAGTGTTGAGGTGTAGCTTTTATCCAGGCCAACCAAGAAAGGAATTTTCAAATATGTACAAAAAAATATGTAAATCAGACAGAGAAAAAAATAATTGTCAGATACAAAATCTGGATATAGGCCTCAGAACTGGAGGACAAAACACAAGTTTGCAGCTTGATAGACGGAAGTTATCCAAACTGAAATGTATTAACTATGAAACTGTAAATAACACGGATCAAAAGAAATCCAAATAGCTTCCAGGTAGGGGAAAGTAGAACATGTATGAAGATTCAAAAGCCAAAGTGGCATTGAACTTCTGAAAAGAAACAATGAAAGGTAGATTCTGTGGGAGCTTATTGGCAGTATTGAAATTGATAAGGTGGCAGACTGTAAATACCTTACCTCTACAAGGCCTTCTGTGTTCTTTTTATACTCTCTTCCCCATACCGTCACAAAGGTGTGAGAGTTCTCATAAAAGAACACTGAAGGTCATGTCCCAAACAATTAAGGCTGGCAAAATAGACATGATCCCCCCCCCCCCGGCTTGTTCATACCATAGTCCTGGAATCCTTAACATCCTTTTAATGTCATGTATTATAAAAACAAAAGGGATTTCAGTCATGTAACTGAGCCTAGAGACCTGAATAGGGAGGTCATTGTGAATTGCCCAGCTAGATCCAATCTCAAAACTATTCTCCATGTGAGGTCAGAAGGGTAAGATAATAGGTTACTTCAGAGCCTGAGAGGGACTGACCTTCCACTGGTGGAAGTAGCCATGTTAAACAAAAGAAAACAAAAAACAAACAAAACAAAAAAAAAACTGAAGGTGAGCACAGACACCTTCAGGAAGGAAAGATGGGTTATCTAGCTGCAGTGACAACCTTCTTTCAAAGAGCTCTTAGAGGGCCTTCCATTTCATAAACAACCCTGAAAGAAGAAACAAGACCAATGCCTTGAAGTTCCTTGACTAAGGAATGGAAATCAAGTTAGTTTTCCCATGAAGTCATAGAATAGTCAGAAATGAAGAATGACAGGTCCCAAGTCAAGCACAGGATGTCCAGTTAAGACAGAACTTTGGAAGAACTGCTTCCTCTGCTCTCCAAGATGAAAAGGAAGGTTCAAGAAAGATCCTGCAGTGCTGGGTGGTGGTGATGCACGCCTTCAATCCCAGCACTCTGGAGGCAGAGAGGCAAGGTGAGTCTCTGTGAGTTCAAGGTCAGCCTGGTCTACCAGAGCCAGTTCCAGGACAGGTTCCAAAACTGCAGAGAAACCTGTCTCAAACCAAAACCAAAACCAAAACCAAACAAAAGATCCTGGAGCTAATGTGACTCAGCAGGCTCAGAAAGACAAAGAAAGCAGACAGGGCTCTCCCCAGAAAGAGATGCACCAACCAATTACGAAGAGGAGACCCTAGAGTGGAGCTGTTTCCACCCTTGGCCCCAGGGCCCCCAGCTGCAAGGGTGTGACTCTGATGGGGGCGGGGTGAGGGGGAACTTTGAGGTGAAGCAGCTGCCTCCTGGTTACCCGTGTTCCCATAAATCCTCACATTTGATGGTTAATAATGATTATTGTTCTTTAAAAATAATATGATGATGGAATGTCCCTGGCGGCTCGCAGAGCAGCTGCTAGTCCGACAAGGATGGCTGTGGGTCCCTGCAAGATCTCCAGGGTGGCAGCGCCATGCGGCCGGGGGAGTCAGGCGGGCGGTCATGGTGGATAAAAGGCTCACAGGACATAGTATTATTTAAAGAAGAGGGAGACATTTATTGCTTAAAGAAGAAAAAAGCAGAGAGACATAAGAGAAACATAGAGAAAAACAAAGACACATGTACACACGACAAGAGACAAACACAAGAGAGAGAAAGATGGTGACAAGGGAGGTCAGAAGTGGCTGGGGAGTGGGCGTGGCTAGCTCTTAAAGTGACTGCAAAGGAATAACAATGATGACTCCACAGAAGAGGGCATTAGCTGTGTGTTTTCCCACTCGGCTGCCAGGACTTCCTAGCCATGATGGGCTCAACACTCCAGTTGCCAACAACTGGTGCTTTTATAACCCGAAATGAAAAAATATTATTTTCCCAATGATTGTCATAAAAAATATCTTAACAGCACATGGTGGCGCATGCCTTTAATCCCAGCATTCACACTTGGGAGGCAGAGACAGGTGGCTCTCTGTGAGTTTGAGGCCAGCCTGGTCTATAAGAGCTAGTTCTGGGACAGGCTCCAAAGTTCACATAGAAACCCTGTCTCAAAAATCCAAACCAAACCAAACCAAAAACAACAACGACAAAAAACTTAACAAATTCACAATAGTCTGATTTTCTAATATTTATGGGAAACATCTTGCTCTTTAGCAAAAGGGCAGAAATGGCTTTATGAATGACCACTAGACACGAGAGACATGAACATGGTTTAACTATTAGACTATAGAAGTTAAATATTTGCCAACCTTACTTCCCATCTCATCTTACGTCTTCTCTCACAGTGCTGGCTGACTGCTTAGGCATTGTAAATTTTATACACAGTATCTTTGTAGAGTCATTCATCAGTGTCCAGGATGGAGTCTCCCAGAGTTCTATCAAATAGCCAAATCTGAGGAAACTTAAAACCCTTGGGAAAATTGTGCAGAATTTCCCTGTATTCCACATTTATACCTCTATATGCTCTTAATTGTTGTCATACTAGAATTAAACCTAAAGCCTCCACATGGTGAGCTGCCTTCTGCCAAAAACTCCATCTCTGGCTTCCTTCTTCACCGTGTTATTTTGAGACAGTTCCAATAATTGCTTAGCCGGGTCTTTACCACGCAATCTCCCTGTTTCAATCTGCCAAGTAGTTGACATGACAGGCCTATGCCACCAAACCTGAGGCCAGAGACTTCTTTTTTAGATTTTCTAATTTTTTTTTATGGGGTAATGTGCCCTTGTGAGTCAAGATTCCCAGGATGTTGGGTCCTCCGAAGATGGAGTTAGAGCTCATTGGGAGTCACCTGGTGTGAGGCTGGGAACTCAGTTTCTCTGAAGAGCCCTCAGCACTCACAGCTACTGAACCTTCTCTCCAGCCCCAATCCCCATACAGATTTAAAATGCTCTTTAGATTTGTTACAGTTCTTAATACAATGTAAATGTAATGTAAGTAGTTGTTACATTGTTTATGGACTCTTGACAAGAAAGGAAGCCTTCAGTATGGACACCGGTTTTTTGAAAACTATTTTCTGGTGTAACTGTAGATTGAATTTCTGGATGTGGGGTTTTAGTAGCTGATTTTGAAGATAATGAAATTGTGGAGTGGGAGGGGAAACTATAGTATCTGTTCATTGAATTTTTATAACCTCTGTCTTTAGTGAAAATTTCCAACCAAGGCTAGAAAAATACTTTCCTTGTAAACCTAACACTAAGTGCCACAATCAACATTATTTGAGTCCCCAACAGGATATTTACTTGCTTTGAAGACAGTAGGCAGTGATATAGTGGTATTGGTGGGTATGAAATATAGATTTTTCCTAAACACCTAAATCTGCAGTAGGGACAGATTCCAACAACAAAAATAAGAGTAACAAAAGAAAAACCTGTTCGCTTACAGGCTCAGCACACATTTTGAGAGAGAGGCAATTGCAGTTCAAGGCTGTGACCTTAAAGTCCTAAACAGTGTTTCCATAGAGAACAATACATTTTCTGGAGGTGACTAAGGAAAACAGCCCCAGGCTTTGTCAGGTGAGTAATGGACATTATGTTGATAAATTGTCAGGTGCTGTTTGAGCTGACTGAGAAACTGGCTCAGGAAGTAGGGTTACCACCACCCCCATTTCAGACCTAAGCATGTTTGTCTCAAAGTGTCCTCCAAGTCTCCTTGACTAGGGATGGTGTTGGGTCCAGGGGGGTCAACGAGAACACCACCGCGTCTAATAAACCAGAATCAAACTTTATTCCAGAAACCAGATCCTAGCAAACCAGAAGCAAACTTAAAAATAAAAAAATAAAAAATAAAAACCACTGTGAGGCACAGAAGCTTATCAGCTAGCTGAGACCTTAGCCAGAGATGATGTTTGTTAGGCTGTGGCAAAAGGCCGGTTTTTGATCCCACTTTTTATAGTAGGGGCACCAAGCATTAGCTCCAAACAATGGAATTTTTACAATCTTGCCCTGACCCGTGGGTCAGTCAAATAGACCCTAAGGAGGGGAGAGAGTTTTAACATCAATGGGTAATTAGGCAACTATTATGAAATATGTTTCAGAGTAGATTATAGTGAAAGACACTAATTGCAAGAAAACAGATGTGTTTAGCAATTAGTCAGAAAAGAGACTGCTAGTAATAGTAGATGGTTTATAAATTAGAATTAATTGGTTCTTAGGTTGAGAACTTAGAAGATAGCAGAAAGTCCTTCACACTATCTCAAGGTAAAACTCAGATACAGACTACCATACTTTACAACCTCCATTATCAGAGCTCATTAGTTCAATGGTGTTTGTACCTTTGTCCACTGTCTGTCCTGGTACGTCCAGGCAGTGTATATTGGTGTCCCATGCCTCCCCTTTGGTGGTGCCAGTTTTCCATAACAGAGACAGTGTCTAATCCAGAGGTCACATATCTCTGTCTCCTGGAGGTTAACTCAGTTCACACCTGTCGTTTATCAAGGATGGCCAGGACACTACTCTCAATTTGCAAGAAGAAACTCTGGCCTTGTAAATAGAACAGCCAGTTGTAAAATGAAATGACCTGATGAAGGCTTCCCAAGCATCTGAGAAAATAGCTCACAGTGAATGACTAATTCTTAATCTGCTGAGAAAGCTGCTGAGAGTCTGTTCTTATTCTCCTAAACTTATAACTTTATATTTCTTTATTTCTAAATTCTTATTTTTGGAATCTACATTTTTATTTTCTTATTCTTGGACTCTTCAGATGGGATGCCAGCTAACTCTAATAGGGAGGAGAGAGCAACAAAGGAGCACACGAGGGAAAACATTGTGCTCTTGAGAACAGCTGAAATACTGGCAAGTGTTACTATGTTTTATCCCATGGGGAGAAAAGGGGAAGCCAGAAGTCGTCCACTCCCCTCTCCGAGGTTCAGCTGTAGGAAACTCAGGCATGGAAAAACAGCTCAATCAGGAACCCCAGCTGCCTGCCCCAACTTCCCCAGTCAGTTTGAGTGGGATGTATTGAGTGAGCATCAGTGTTGATGGTGTCATCTCTGTCTACTGTTACTCATTCTTTACCTTGGAAGCCATACTTAAGGTTACATTCTCCTGAGCTCCAGCTGACTTCCTAGTTAGATGTTTTAAGCACCCAGTTTGATGTTGCTCTGATATCTAGTCTTTCTATCTATCTACCTATCTTTTACTTTTTATTCTTCAGATTTTGCTTGTTACATACTTAGTAAACTCATTCATTCAAAACCAAGAAAATGACTATTATAGGCCATTCTCTGAATTGTACGGAATAAGGTAGTAAAATATGGGAAGGTAAATGAATGGAAATAAGAGCTACCTACCGACAGAATCATCTGGTGCTGCTTTCTTTCTGAGGTGCTGAGCAGACGCTGCATCTCTTATATGGGACAGAATCCATATCCCATTTGCAGGGAGTAAAGAGTGGAAAGGAAGATGCTTCATTTTGCAAATCCCCATTCTGCTTTGGGAAGGGGCAGAGACATCCTCTGCACTTGGATTGCTTTGAAATCAACAGTCCTTATATTTTGGGGAAAGTATTTTGGCTTCTATCAGTATCACTCATAACAGAGGTGATATTTCAGATTTTTATTCACCATGAGAAAAGCAGAAATTCGTGGTGGGTGGGTGGGTGGGTGAGGGCTTCTAGCTGTAAGGGAAAACATTTTTAAAGCTAGGACTAAATTGTATTAAAAAGACAGAGTTGGGAGAAAACTACATGTTGGCCCGTGCAGCCAAGAGGCTAAGAAGGATGAGGAACAACACTGGATTCGCCTTAAGAAGGACAGAATAGCAGTGATATAGATCTCTGAAGCTCCAATACCTTCGCTTGGTTCCCATTCTACCATTTCAATTATAAAATCTTAGCACTCTCATCTGAATAGGGAAATAACAATTACACTTATAGACTTAGGAGATTTGAGTGATTCCCCCCCGACATGAAGTGCTTTGAAAGGTTGCCAAGCATATACTAACCACTTAGCAAACATTAGCCATTGTTAGTGGAGGACATAAATTATTATGGTCCATTTTCAGGATGAGGTGCATTTCAGAATTGTCAGAGAATCACAGAGAAGCAGGCAGCACTAGGGCCTGTGTTTCCTAGCTGCCATCTCTTATCTAGTTCATCTAGGGGTGAACAGTTACAGGTGGTCTGCGACATGGCTGAGCTCACATGTCAGAAAAGGAGGGAACCCCAAACCCCCAGATTTAGATAAGGCTTTGCGTCATGAACAAATAAGATATGGGATTTGGGAATGGGGCATAACTAGACACCAGGAAGATGTACTTTCATTACAAACTCAGATGCTAAAGAATTTGGGTGTCAGAGAAATGTGATTAGGAATATAGAAGCCACTATGCTGAGCCAAATTGGTGTGCCAATCCTTTTCATTTCTCGTCCAGGCTGCTGCCCCACATTTGCCGAAACCAAAACCAAAAATCAGTCTGCCTTGCTTTCAATATTCTAGATGTTCTGTGCTTGAATATAACGTGAGGGCTATTGTTCCTCAAGTTAGTAGTTACACACTTTCATACCCCCTCCCCACTATGTTGGCTTCGCTTGTAGGCGAAATCAGTATATGGCATGGCAAAACTGCCCAGTTGTGGATGTAGAATTCAGTTCCACCAGGTCAGTAGCTCTAGGACAAAAGGCCTCTTTCCCAATGGTTCTGACAAAGTCTGAAAGTGAATCTCAGACTGGAATATGTCGTCTTTGTTGGAGGAAAACTATTAAAATACAGTGGCCTGATTCGTGCAAAGATCAGGTTAAGAAACTAAGAATGACAAAGGGACAAGAAACAATGACATGAAGAAGCCATAAAAACATTAGATGAAAGGGCTATTCACGGAGGACAGGTTGGACAGACTGCAATAAGGCCAGAAAGACATTAACCCGAGTGTGTGTACATCCCAGCGATTGGAGAGTCTCAAAGCTAGTACCAGGGCTACTGAAGAGATTGTCAGTGCTTGGAAGTAATCAGCTGAAAGACGGGAAAACCTGGAAGAGGCTTTTCTGGACTCTGCCCTATCTTTATTAACTGTAGGAGTTAAGTGAACACATTCTAAATTGAATTGGGATCATATGACATCAGAAAAGAAGGAAATTTCTGACATCATTGCAGTTAATCAGTTACTACTGGAATAAAGCTAATGCCATTCAAAATATTCTTGTGGCAGGAAATCAGGAGACTATTATCATATTGTTACTGTATAAAACTTACATGTATATGATATTTTTCTTTTTTTATTCTGCTGACAACTGTTTTTTTTTTTGTTTAAGATAGATTCTTTCACAGTATATCCTGATTAAGTTTCCCCTCCTCTACTCCTTCCAGTTTCTCCTCTTTTCCCCTCCTCTCCAGAACTACTCCCTTTCTGTCTCTCATTAGAAAAAAAGAAACAGGCTTCTAAGAGATAACAACCAAACGTAACAAAATAAAATATAATAAGATAAAAACATAAACCTTCACATCAAAGCTGGACAAGACAAACCAATAGAAGGAAAAGAGCCCCAGGAGAAGGCTCTAGACTCAGAGACCCACTCATTCACATAGTTGGGATTCTTATAAAACTATTAAACTGAAAGGTATACTGTATTCATAGAGAACCTGGTGCAGGCCCATGTCAGCCCTGTGCTTGCTGCTTCAGCCTCTGTGAGTTCATATGACTTTTTCTCTGTTGATTTAGAGGTGCCTTGTTTTCCTAATGTCCCCTATCCCTCTGGCTGTTACACTCTTCCCACATCCTCTTCTGCTTGGTTCCATGAGCTCTGAGGAAGGGGAGTTGATGGAGACATTTAGACCTGTGTGTTCCAAGGTTTCTCTGTGAGATGTCTTAACTGTGGGCCTCTGATTTGTTCCTGTCTGCTGCAGGAGAAACTTCTCTAATAATAGCTAACTAAGGCACTGATCTATGAGGATATCAGAATAAAGTTAGGAATCATTTTATTGATTTTTTTTATGTAGGAGGGTCTTCTTTGTATGTGTTACTTTTATTGGTTAAATAAAGAAACTGCCTTGGCATTTTGATAGGGCAGAATTTAGATAGGTGGAGTAGACTGAACAGAATGCTGGGGGAAAGAAAGCAGAGTCAGGCAGATGCCATGGCTCTTCTCTCTGAGATGGATGCTGGTTAGACTCATGTTAGTAAGCCACAGTCAAGTGACGATACAGATTATTAGAAATGGGTTGAATCAATATATGAGAGTTAACCAATATGAGGCTAGAAATAATGGGCCAGGCAGTGTTTAAATGAATACAGTTTCCATGTAATTATTTCGGGCATAAACTAGCCAGGCAGTGGGATGCGGGCCTTATTTTCTGTACAAGAGATTTTTTTTTGTAGTATTTGGTTTTACACTAGGTCTCTAGGCTATCTGGTTCAAGCAGTTTTGGGTATGAGTTTCATCTCATGAAGTGAGTCTTAAGTCAAATCTGTTATTGGTTGGTTACTTCCAAAGTTTTATGCCACCATTGCCCGAGCATATTTTGCAGGCAGGAGAAATTATAAATCAGAGATTTTGTAGCTGGGTTGGTGTTTATGTTTTTGTTTTTTTATTTTTTGTAGCTTGCAGAGTACTTTCCCTTACCAAAGACACTAGAAGATGGAGATGGATGTGAAGGCTCTATATAGGCATCAGATCAACCTCTTCAAGTTCAATGAGTTGTGTGTTGTCTTCAGCAATGGGGCCCTGCTATCTGTTTGTGCAGAGAACCCTATTATCTTGGCAACATCCTGGGTTTTTTGGAGATTTCCATGGTATCACCTGTGACCAACCACTCACCTCGATATAACTTAGTCATGGTACAGAAAACCTTGGTACAAAGAGATGGCCAGATGAGACTCTTTATTCCTCATGGTTAGACGGCTTTCTTAGTTTCATCTTTGCATATTTTAGGAAGTTTTGACTACACTAGGTTTCAGTACTACCCTCAAATGTCCTTCAGTTCCAGCTGTTTCTCCCTACATTCCCTACCTCAACCTTATCTTCCCTCTGCTTCCCCATCTGATCATCTCATTCCTGTTCCTACCTGCCCCCTAGTCCACCCATAAAATCTATTCCATTTCCCCCTCTCAGGGAGATCCACATGCCTTTTCTAGTTCCTTCCTTCATACCTGACCTCTCTGAAACTATGAATTGTTGCTCAGTTATCATTTATTTAATAGCTAATATTCACATATAAGCGAATACATACCATACTTATCTTTCCGAGTCTGGGTTACCTCACTCAGGATGAATTTTTCTAGATCCATTCACTTGCCTGCAAATTTCATAATGTCACTTTTTAATTTTTTTCCATTAAAAAATTTACACTTTCTCCCCTCCTCCCATCCCTTTCCTACTCCCCATTCACTCTCCTCCCTCCCACTCCCTCCTTAAGAGAGGACAGGGAACCCTGCCCTGTGGGAAGTCTAAGGCCCTCCCCCCTACATCCAGGCCTAGGAAATTTTGCATCCAAATAGACTAAGGTCCCAAAAAGCCAGTACATGCAGTAGAAACAAGTCCAAGTGCCTTTATCAATGGCTTCTCAGTCAGCCCCCCTTGTCAGCCACATTCTGAGAGTCCGGTTTGATTGCATAGTCATTTAGTCCTGGTCCAGCTGGATTTGGTGAGCTCCCATTAGAACAGGCACACTGTCTCAGTGGGTGGACGAACCCCTTGCGGTCCAGACTTCCTTGCTCATCTTCTCCCTCCTTCTGCTCTTCAACTGGACTTTGGGAGCTCAGTCCGTTGCTTGGATGAGGGTCTCTGTCTCTATTTCCATCCATCCCCGGACGAAGATTCTATGGTGATATTTGAGATAATCATCAGTGTGATAGTGGGGCAAGGCCAGTTCAGGCACCCTCTGCTCTGCTGCCCACGGACCTAGCTGGGGACAACAATTCTACCCCCAGAAAGCCTGATGTCACTTTTTAAAAGCAGGTGAACAATACTCCATTGTGTAAATGTACTGTATTTGCTTCATCCATTCCTCTATTTAGGGACATGTAGGCTGTTTCCAGTTTCTGGCTATTATGAATAAAACAGCAGTGAACATGGCTAAGTAAGTGTCCTTATGACAGAATGAAATGTCCTCTGGGTGTATGCACAAGAATGTTGTAGCTAGATCTTGAGGTACATTGATTCCCAGCTTTCTGAGGAACCACCATACTGATTTCCATTGGGCAGTACAAATTTGCACAACCACCAGCAATGGAGAAGTGTTTCATTATTCCTCATCCTCGCCAGCAGGAGCTGTCGCTTGTGATGCTGATCTCAGCTATTCTGACAGGTATAAGGTAGAATCTCAAAGTAGTTTTGATTTGCATTTTCATGATGGGTAAGGATGTTGAACATTTCTTTAAGTGATTCTCAGCCATATGAGTTTCCTCTAACAGAGAAATTCTCTGTTTAGATTTGTAACCCATTTTTAAAAATTGGGTTATTTAGGTTTTTGATATTTAGTTCCTTGAGTTCTTTATATGTTTTGGGTATTAGTCCTCTATGGATATGGAGTTGGTGAAAATCTTTTCCCATTCTGTAGGCTGCAGTTTTGTCTGGATGATGGTGTCCTTTGCCTTCCAGAAGATTTATAAATAGTCTTAGTGCTAGTGAAACTCAAGCCAGAATTTGTTTATCAAGGAATATCATTCCTCAATCCTTAAAATTCACAAATAAACAACATTTCATGCAAAGGAAAGAAAAAAACACAATTTTAAAACTACCGAATAATATTGAAATTTATGATTTCATGCATCATGATCTTGGGCAAAAATCACATAATAACTTTGACACAATATTTCTCCAACTGTAAAAATGACTTACTGTAAATGATATGCTTTAATCAGCTGCTGTTATTATTAAACATATATATAGTATAAAAAGTCTTTTAAACAATACAATAATTTAAATAATAATTTTTACTCCAATTTTTATTATTATATCATGCTGATTATCGTAATGATCGTTCAGTAGTGAATATTTAAGAATAACTTTCAGGGATTATAGAGTTTTGATACTAACCCTTTATTTAGGTAGTCTCATTCAGATTATTGGTATCTAATAATGTGAGTAATCTGATGCTCGTTACCTTGCCTTGTTAAGTTAATAATTCAAAGTGATCTTGTATAGAAAATTTATTCACTTAATACAGACATCACTGGTTTCAAAGACACTTCTTATCTCTTCCATCTTCAAATGTTTAGGCTCCTTTCCACTTGTTAGTTGTTTCATTTCAGAACCTCAATGACTGAAGCATATTTTTTTTTATCAGAAAGAGGCAGAAGAAATAAAAGCAGGGTAAAACTTGATTTGTATATACAGTGAACCTGATGATACTTCTTACTCTAACTCAGTCTGTGGAAGCAGCAAGCACTGAATCTCAGTCTGCCTTCAGCTCTCCCTACAAATGACTAACCCCTTCAGGGTGTCTGGTCTTAAACACCATGAAGACATGATCTTCAGATTAACCAAAACAGTATTTGCTTGACCTGTAGTATTTTATACAGCTCTTTGTAGATTTCAGTATTATGGATGTTTGTCTCTCCCGTCCTTTACTGAAGTTATCACAAGTTTTCAGTTTAATAATCTCATCTGCTAATTTTGTTGCTAGCTACTCAGCGATTAAACCTATATTATCAATTCACTGAGGAAAAAAGTGTGAGTCTTGCTCAGATGGAATACAACTTGTATGGCAAAGTTCTCAATATGTCGTGCCCATGAAATTGGCCATTTGTACTTGATAGTTATATTTTGAATATACACAATTTATTGGTGTAAAAAACACTGATGATGATACTAATTTGATTCTTTCATTAAATGTCTGTGCCTCTCTAGAAAAAAAATAGCCAAAGCTGCCTTACCATGACACGATGATAGGCTATAAAGCCCAGATGGCCTCCTAGAAAGGAAGTTCACAACAAAGTTCAGGCCTGTATTTTCCAAATAGTCTACACTAACCACTGGCCTGTTTGGTTTCAGCTTTGTTGGAAAAGGAAAATATCAAATGCTGGCCTAATGCATTGTCATTTCTTGTCATTTAAAAATTTATACTGTTATTTTGTTTTATTGTTAGAGCCAATGTCTAAAGACAAAACTCTTTCAAATTATATGAAGTAATGAATAGAAGGCACTTTCATGCAAAACAGTGTAGTGACAGCAAAAACAACAATGGAATAAAGGAAGGTTACCATCCACTTCCTTGGGCTGAAGAGATGACTCAGTGGTTAAGATCACTATCTGCTCTTCCAGAGTTCCTGTGTTCAATTCCCAGCAACCACATGGTGGCTCACAACCATTTGTAATGAGATCTGGTGCCCTCTGGAGGAAGAGACCTGGTCAGTCGTCCTCATCAGCTTAGACCATGAAGCTCATTATTGTCATGTTCCACAGAACCACCATGTATGGGCTGCCCATGCCTGTTTCAGCGTTTCCAGAGCAGGAATTTCATTCATTCATTCATTCACCATCTACTTTCTTGACCTCCACTCCCTTCACCAGGATGGATCATTCATGTTATCAAAAGTTGCAATAGCTCTTTCCTGATGGTCATATTCTTCAACCACACTGGACTTGCCATCTATGGAAAGAAAGTTGTTTGAGTTATCAAGGTTTTCAGCAAACAGAGGCAGGATTCTGTTAATCCCTATAAAGTCACCTTTTTGACATTAAACACATTTTAAGTCAATATCAGATATTTCTCTGGCACTGGAGAATTTAGGGATTCATAAAACAAGAATAATTTCTGCTCCCATGAAAGTCACACTGCATTATAGAAGCTATCCAAATAATTGTCCACATGCAGGAAAAATCAAAGTAACACATATAAAGTAAAAATAAGAGACAACATACTGGGATTTGAATGTGGTAGCTCAGTGATCCTGTCTAAGGAAGTGATGATTGAGATGAAAAGAGAGTGGGTATTTGGTGAAATGAGAGGCTATAGGTGATGTAAAGAGATGACAGAGTCTATGCCAAGATTCTGGTACTTGGTCATAAGTGGTGAGTGAGTTTAATAAATGAGGGTGAAACACAGCCAGAATGAGATCTGCAAAACGAGACTGACAGTGGGCCAAGAGTTCACTAGGTATGCTAAATATTTTCTTCTCTGGATCTACAGCAGTAAGAATTCACTGAAGTGTTATGCAACTGGGTGGACATATAAGGGTTTGTGTTTTCAAAATACCACTCTGAAAAGAATGTGGAAAACTACTGGAAGTGAGTTAAAGATAGACTTCGACATTCCGGGTTGGTGGCTTCTTTGGTAGTCTGGAGGAAAAAAAAATGTTGAAGTAATGTCAGGAAAGGAGTTACTATTATAACTGAAAAACCAAATAGGCAGGTAGGGGAAGCTGATGTCTAGGATGGCCATCTTGTTTCTGGTTTGCATAACCAGCTGGGAATAGCATTAACATTAAATTAGGAACATTGGAAGAGAACCAGATTTCAGAAAGGAAGATCAGGTAGTAGACGACAGATATGTGGGGTAGTCAAGAAAAAAAGTCAACTAGGCAGGTAGAAGTGTGGGTCTGTGTGGTGGTTAGTGTTGTCAGCTGATAGAATCTAGGGTTACCTGGGAAATGCCTCTAGGGACGCCTGTGGGGGTGTCTTGATTACAGTAATTGCCATGGGAAGATTTACCTATTGTGGGTGGTACTGCTTTCTGGCTGGGATCCTTAACTATGTAAATGAAGAAGGGAAACTGAACAATAACACACTCATTTATTGGCTCTCTGCTTCTTGGTAGGGGAAACAATGTGGCCATTTTGCACTCTGGGCCAGAATAAAACATCTCCTTTAGGTTTATTTTATCAGAGTGTCTTATCTCAGCAATAGGACAAGAAACAAGGGAAGTCTGGAATTCAAACGCGTGACTGACAATGGTGTAGCTGGTAACCATTGTATTAGTTTTGTTTTGGGAACAAATTTAATAATATTTTAAAATCCAGTTCTGTCGTCTGGGAGCATTAGTTGTTTGTTATTCTTACTTTTCCTGTTTCCTGACAAGATGCTTTCAAGAGTTTATCCTATTTGGTTACGGATAGGACAAGATAAATCCTAACCAAGATCTGTTGGAACCAGATGTAGTAGCTCACATCTGTAATTCCAATACTCAGGAATCTGGGGCAGTCAGGTTCTGCAAATTCAAGGCCAACCAAGGCTACATAGTGAGTTCCAGACCAATCTGGGCTAGAAGGTGAGACCCTGTTTCTAGGTTATCTAAATATTTGACTTTTAGCAGTTCCCCCATATCTTGTTATTTTTTGTAGTGTACTTGTGTTTCTTATTTCAG